TTCAAGGTCGGATATTAGAGCTTCCGGTGGAACAACGTTTTGTTAATCATGGATTATTCGAATGATACCGGAGTGGACGTGCCATTTGGTAAATAATATCGTTCATTCAGTAACATTTTATGATTGCAAGAAGGTGGTATGCAGAATGAAAGATGTCATTTCATATAAAAGCTTTATTTAATCGTAACATTTGTTGTGTATTTCTACATCGCGTTACGCGTGTGTGCTAATGTGAAAACACAGGTAAATCTTGATTTGTGAATTCAGCGACGACCACGCCATGCATGAGTGAGCAACGCCTGCTTTGAACTGTAGCTGTCACGAGTTTATTTGTTAATATCCCATAGACTTTTACTCGGAAACTTTGACATTCATTTATTTTTTATAATATTGCAGTATTCTTAGTTGTGTGTGTATTGTGAATTTCCTGTAGTAAGATATGATAGCATAAGCATAGCTTAGGAAGTAGAAACATTTCCTGTTTTGACTTTATTTATGTCCGGTATTATCGGATAGCTAGGTTCACATTGTTTCAGATGAAAATACACTGGTCACTTCAAATTGTTATACTAACACTTCTGCCGACTGAGCTACATGATCAACGGAAATGTTCTTGCCCAAACATGCTACTGTTACATTACACACAAAATTAAAGGGAGGCTTCGGCATATACGAAACACTACAGTGAAGCGGGCCAGGAATCCTTAAGTGCTCACAGGAGAAAAAAGCGGTACTGGGACATTTCATTACCGTCGATAGGGTAGTTCAGTCGGTTAGAGTGACAGTCCCTGGATTGGAACGTCTCGCGTTCGAATCCGTGGTTTGTTCTCCTTTCTCCCACCTTTTTTCTGATCAAAGGAATTATATAAACACTGGAAAACAACAGAGGTGTCATTATAGTCTATTCTGGTATAGTACAGGTAGATTATTTACCTGTATTTACCTGTTCAGCAATAGTAAATACTGTGTTAGTTATAGGAATATTTAACAAATATATTTCCTGATTTTCGTAAAATTTACTGGAATTATGAATAAATATATACAAGATTCCAGTTATTACTTAATAAAAACACATCGAAATACGTTAACTGAAAACCTGCTTTTATTAATTTCATAAAATTAATTTTATACATTTTTACTATACATTTACATGTATGTTATATATATATTTCATAAAATAGAGAACTAAATTTAGCAAGCATTTTATGACAAATATAATCAGTAAAGACAGAGATCATGTATTACATTATTAAATATGCAAAAACAGATGCAAAGCTGGGAATGAAAATAAATATAACAAAATTAATAACATGTACACATGGAATACTTATCACTGGTTGATCAAATTAATCATATTCATAAAATGCACACATGCACAAAGATACCTGATATAAAACTAATATAATAGCACTAACTTACTAAAGGTGAAATATTGAAAAGTCCATAATTTTAAGAAATTCTACCAAAGCACCAAATAAAAATTCCATAACAAGCTTATTTATGACAATGTCACTATAAATGCAAACAAGAGGCCAAGGGGGCCTGTATCGCCCACATGGTTATTTAAGCAATCATGGCACAATATTTACATTTGCTCTGTATTGCCAATTTGTAACCACTTCAGACATGCAGGGTAAGAACTTGGAAGCGTTACTATGGAGACTTTATAATTCATAAAGAATTAAGGTTGTTACTATTACTAGCACATTAGTTGGGTTGGAGATAAAAAGTATGTGATGGCTGTTCATTTGTCGAATTGTCTATATAAACAATACCAAACTTTACCCCCTCCCCAAAGGCAAACGAGGGACCTTAGGGACATGAAAATCACAAAGTATTTAAACAACTCGAAGGCCTATACAACTATGAGTAGTATTTGATACTAGCATTTCTGGAACTGGAGAAGGTTTTTGAAATTCGCCTCCTTTTTCACCCCAAACCCAGCCCCCTATGGGGTCATGGTCACAAAAAGTATACCAGCATACCTTCCTCCCCTAACAAGTATTTCTGTCAAATATGAGCAAACTCCGTTCAAAACATTGGAAGATATGGCCTATTATGTATATTTCCTATATAAACTTTATTTTTCACCCCCTCACCAGGGGCAAACGGGGGGCCTGCAGGTAGCCATGAAAATCACAATTTTTATAAACCACCCAAACGCTTTTACAGCTATGGGTAGTATTTGATCCTGGCATTTTTTTAAATAGAGAAGAAGATTTTTGATTTTTTTCCCAAAGTATTTCTGTCAAATATGAGCAAACTCCGTTCAAAACATTGGAAGATATGGCCTATTATGTCTATTTCATATATAAACTATACTAAATGTCACCCACTCCTCAGGGGCAAAGGGGGCCCCTGAGAGACATGAAAATCACAAATTGTATAAACCACCCAAATGCCTTTACAGCTATGGGTAGTATTTGATTCTAGCATTTTTATAACTAAAGAAGAAGATTGTATCCCCCCCCCCCCATTTTCGGCCCCTAACTCAGCCCCCTAGGAGGACAGGCTCACAACAAAATTATACTATTAAATATATAAAATATATAAAATATTTGTGGACTTCACGTTACTGTTTTGTATAGATCTAGCTGATGGAAATGGTTTATAATATGAAAAAAATGTCTAAAAATGATGAAAATAGACTATATCTAAGCTACATGTATATGACAGTACTGTATATATGATACAGGTAATGTG